CTTTGGCCCTTCTAGATCGTCATGGTCCCCTGTACGGAGTAAAATAGCCAAGGACTCTGGAACGTTTTGACATCCTCATCGTGCGATGAAGTCAGAGTCTCACGGTATTCGCTGGCGGCGCACGCTAACATATACATGTGACGAGAAACGCTATTTTGCTGTGGCGGCGGTGGGGTTTGTAGTCGAGTTTAAGTGAATAATCGCTGCCGCCTGGCCAATTTTGAGGCTGAAATAGAATGGTCAGCGAACTTGGCAGCTTGGATTTCTACTACCGCCGATCTCAAGTGTTGCCCCTGGTTGATTCATCTCAAGGCCAGAAATCACCACCTAGTCTTGAGGGTTCCTGGGAAAGCCTGGCAATACAGCCGTACCTGTTTCACAGTCACGGGCACCGAGGCGTGATTTCGGATGGCAGTTAGTAGTCAAGACATAGTCCAGGCACAGCCCGTTGTGGGGTGGTAGCCAGGCTCACACTGATGGGTTCCATCTGATCACGTCGTTGAACAACATCCTCGAGTTCGTGCTGCTTGGATCTTGCAGCGGACAGCCGAACCGGTGCCACGCAGAGTGCCAAGACTGTCTTGTAGGCTATGATCTGATTGGGCCAGCGCGGCTTCCAAGGTTCTCTAGACTTTGACGTTGCACAGAACCCGTTGACGGTTGTTCAGTTCCCTCTGGGGTGGCCGTTTCGTTTGACTCGGACGGTTTGATCGTCTGGATGGGAACGACCTTAGCCTGACCTTTTCTGTGCATGCCGGAGTGCACCACACACTGCACACATAACTCGGATGAAAGTCAAGACTGTGAGCCACAGTGAACTTGAATGAGGCTGATAAAGGTACGTGAGCTCATCGTGTCCCGTCGATGAGTGCATGTATCCCCATACATAGGACGAGAGAGAAAACATGGACACTGCATGAAAAGCCCGCCGTTCTTGCAATAATGCACCTCTGCGGATCCTAAAGCGTTCAACTGCAGCGTCGCAGTAGACTCGCTGATCCCCGGGGCGGGCCTCCTGTCCTTTCTCCGGCCAAAGATTGGTGGTCCATGGTTCTGAGTTCTTGAGGGGTGCAGAGAGCCGATGATACTTGACGCACTAGAAGAAGCCCTGCTTGCAATTGACCATGCCCATAGGTAGGATAAGAGTGCTGGATAGTATCGACTTCCTATCGACCAGGCCAGAGAATACCGGTAGGGATACTTTTGACGCCCCCAGGAACCTTACCTAGACAGGCTCACCGCATCGCAACTCCATCGTCGTGCAGACTTAGGCAGGCATTCGGAGCTGGCGAACGCGCCATGTTGTGCTTCGATTGGCCCGAGGGCCATGTGTAGCGATTGCAAGCTGTGCGGGCAGAGGTAGAGCAGCACAGTACAACAAAAACACAACACAACGCGACGCAGCGTCTGTTGATGCTATTTGTGTGTTTCGCGCCAGCCGCGGGACCTGTTCGTATCGTCCGTCAGTGGTCACTCCTGCCCAGCGGCCAGCATCAGACATGGATTCGGGTTGAGGAGACTCGGGGGAGACTCGGGAGAGAGCCCGTTCCCCAGCCTCTGCTTCCAATTCGGCGCGGTTGTAAGAGTATGTGCAAATCTGGTGTTAGTCTCGGCCAGGATTCTGTTGCCTGAGGAATTAGTATTGTCGTATTGCAGCTTGGACATTGGCGAAAAGTCATGGAATGAAAAGTCTTTCTCGAGTAGTTTCCAGGTAATTGCCTCCTGGCACATGGGAGTCAGGACCGAAGACGTAGAGTATTAGAGATCGGACCCCTTCTTCATGATTCAGGCAACGGGTCAAAAGTTGGCGGTAGTTGTTGGCCCTTGAAAAGTTGTAATTAGGTAGCATGGAAGTGAGCAAAGTTAGGAACTCTCCCGTCTGTTCGTATTCCCCGCTCCTTCCCGCACAGCCGCTTTCTGCTCGGTGATCCTGGGATCGCATCTTCATGCACTTTGTAGTGCGGCAGGTCCAGACTCTAGGACTTCAGCTGGCAGTTTCCATTTTCATGGATGATGGAGCAAGGAAAGACCGATCGGGGGGGAGGAACAGACGGGGAGGTGCCTTCTCTATCCAAGTGGTGGTGGACCAAGAGGCAAGTGCCAAGAACACATCGAGCAGGTCCAGCAGATGATGCCCTGGTGGGTCCACATGTCCAATGGAAAACGAGACTTTCAACCAGGGTATCCACTTTGGCGACTGAATGACTCCACTTAACGCGCTCAGTCGCGTCTGCAACGCGTCTCTTCCACACCTCACATAGGAGTTCACATCTGGACCACCGTCAGCCATCGGCCATCGGATGTCTGATTTTTTTTCCCTCTCCCGTCCCGTTCCTCCCATTGCTCCCAGTCGTCAAAGTTCCCACAGCTCTCGCACGGATCGCACTCAAATCAGTTTCATCCGTCGTCTCTTTTTCCTTGGAACACTTCACGCACTCCTCCCCCCCGCCGATGCGCTCTTAACTTGGGTTGGACGGACGTCACCGCCCACATTTTGCGAAGCCAATGAATCGCTTCCCGCCCGTCACACTCACCTTGACTTTCACCGGGCATCTCCAACGCTTCACCTCGTGCTCACCTACACAAACTCTTAATTACCGATTCAACTAAGGTAGACCGTCCATCTCGAACATTGCTTCAACAAGACGTACAGGCCGGGCGTTCGCTCACTTATTCAACTTTCCTTACGTCTGACACTCTACTCCGTCATCGGTGCCACTTTTGACTCAACCCGCACTTTTTTGACGACGGTCTCTCACTTATTTGCCATCGTCCAGTCTTCACCTCCAGCCATTCCCAACACCACCACCACCATCGCCAACGCTCATTATCCACTTTGTGGCTTGCTAAACGCTCAATCGCTGCTCTTCGAGGCTCTGTTCGTCCCAAGAACGACACTCCCGGCATACATGAAATAAGCCTGCTGGCTGCAGACGCAGAAACCAGCCTCCCTTCTTTCCCTGCCCCGGTCGCAGACGACCGAGCGCAAACTACCGCACAGGCTGTGGCCAGGAGAACCACCATCTGCAAGTTCGCACCAGCAAGCACCGCAGGCGCAGGGCAAACGCGCCCTACCCAAGACGAGATAGCGAGCACGAAGCTGCTGCACGCAAATCCAGCTCCGGCAGCATCGTCTGGTTTCTTGTCTCACTGCCCCACAAACCGAGCGGCCTGATCGTCTCGACCATCTCTCTCTGAGTCTCTTTGAAGCTTGAACAGCTTGCCATTGTCTATCCGGACTCCCAACCTGCTTTGTTCACTCGACTATCGTCTCGTCCGTTGCATCAGCCCGTCCACGATTGAGCCCTACTAGTCGTGGCTTGAGCTTTTCGTTTGCGGCATCTGCTACATTTTCTGCGTCGTCCGACACCCAAGAAAGACCAGTCGTCTTGTTGGTGTTGTTGAGTTCTCCGTCACCAGGCATACCTACCACGGTGGCCTGCTTGTCTCGACCAACCCAATCCCTAGTTCGGCGCGCTTCTCAGACTTCACGCGCGGCGTACCTTGCTTTACACCTGGCGAACGAACGAATCGACCAACGGGAGCCCGAAGCTATTGCTTTGCTTTGCCTTGCATCCATCGCTCCTTTCGGACTCTGCACCCTCGTCGTTCGCTGCTCCATAATCCGCCGTACCTGCACTCCTGTCGTGTCCATCGACTGACTACACCAAACGACACTGTGTATCCGGAGTACGTACGACTACTGCAATCGCCAGACCCCATCCCACACGCCGCTGTCCGGTTCACTCAAACTTCAAAATAGCTCCCTCTCCAGGGATCCTTATGAAGAAGAAGAGATCAGTTTTGGACAACTTACAAACTACGACTTCAACCGGACCCAGTCCCAGTGGCAGACGGGGCAGACGATCCTCAGTCTCCTCCTCCAACAAGGCGCTTCCCACATCGTGCACCTCACCGCACATTGCATCCTCAGGGTCTCTCGGCGCAAAACGAGACTACGCTCACCCTAGACTCCACTCTGCCACATGCGCTGGCGAGCTTCTGGACCTGTCTCGAGCCGCTACTGGTGTGTCCGTCAGTCACAAACGCTCCACTGTCACTCGCCTTGGACGGCTTGACTAGGTTCCCTTGGGTTTAGCCTAGGTGGGGGATCTCTAGTGTGCTCAACCGCTGTGCAACTGCAACCCGTGGACCTTGGACGCCCTCCCCCCGGCCACCACGCTCTGCTGCTGCACCGACTGCAACTGCAGGACTGCACGGGGGTTCAAGCGAGCAGTGTGTGAAGTTTGGTTCACCTCAACTTTGCCTTGGTGAGGTACTTTTCGGTGTTCGAGGGCCTGTCGACCTTTTCACTGCAACCCTCAGGCATGAGCACAGGCTCAGGCGCAGGCACAGGTCTCTTCCCATTCGTATCCTGCCAGGACAAGAGGTGTTCTCTGCTCTCCCGCCCTGTCCCGGCTCCTCGAGCAAGGTTCGCGCCACCCGCTCTTTCTTCCCCACCCCGCCCACCATCGCTGGGCCTTGCCATACATACCACACCGGTCCGCCTCAGCCCAAGCCTGTCCGAACTTCCTCCTCCCACCTTTCTCTTCAACCACAGTCGTTCCTTTTCGCAAACACCAACCGTCCTCCGGTGGTGGGGGTTGCGCGCTTTGGATTTTCCCCCGATAAGCCCATACCTAATCACGAGCCATTCGCCAGCAACGACGACGAATCAATATTTTGTCCGTCTGGCTCGTCGCGACGACCTATTTCCTTGATCCTACCTATCTACAGTATTGCGACGACGAATCTCGGACGTCCAGACGACCCATCCACGAATATTTTAACACGAGGCGACACTTGCGACGACAATTACCACGATTACCAAGACAACGTTTTCTTTTTCTGTATTCCATTCGACCAATGTTTTGACGAGAGAGTGGTGTTGAATCGCACGATCCTCGAATCCAGCCGAGGCCGTCGCATACCTGATTGCAATTGACCGAGCGCTCCATACCAGTTACAGAATTTGCGCTGGTAAAGCAGACCACAACTTCCTGTGCTGGACATATTCTGTGTCGCACACTAAAATATCGCGTCCATTCTGGGCGGCAGCCGTTGAGGTCAATCGCAGCCCTTTGAGGCCCAGGGACGTTACCACGCGCTCAAATACCACCTTGTCTCAAATTTCGCCGCCACAAAGACAATCGGAGGGACCACGTCGCCTTTGTTCTTGAACAAACATTCACCAAACGGCTTAGAAATCGCGAAGTCTACCTGCCGCTAGCATTTTCCTCAGAGGTCGCGACATTCCTCACCTCTTTAAATCCGCCAACATGAACCCTCAACATTCCGGAGCGGCGACGCTGCCCAAGGGCTTCCGTTTCCATGAACCGGATCAGCAAACCCCCAAAACACCGGAGCCTTCCGCCATGGACGAGGAGCTTCAGCCACCTTCGCCGCCGCGTCCGCGGTTGAGACTGAAAAGGCGCGTCGCATCCAACTTGAACGCTCCAACGACGCACTTCCTCGCGTCAGTTGCTGCCGCCGACGTTCCGATTCCCAGCATCGAAGAGCCCGAGTCGGCTGGTCCAGACACGCATACGCAATTTTCCAGCATGACGTACCCCGTTATTCACAATCTCAATGACCTGGACGGGCTCGCCTTACATAAACTTCGCGGACGGCGTTTTTCTCCACCCAAAACGCCAGCGCCTGGCGCCGCTCCCTCACTATCCCCTAGACGGTATCCCAACTGGTCCATCGACTCTGCCTTCAGTAGCGGCGAGTCTACCCCAGAATGCGAGTCCAGTCGGCCATCTACCGCACGGTCTACGCAAACCAGCGCTTCTCTCTTCAGTCGCTTCTCCCTCACATCAGAAGACCTGCAGTGCATCAGCCCGGAAACTGACGCGTCCGATCACGTCAAGCACTCATTTTTCGACGCAGTCGAAGAGCCTGCCGAACCATCGTCTTCAGCCAAGCCAAAGACGAAGAGGAGAAAGGCCCCTTGGACCAAAGCGATGAGCGACCACCTTTGGGCTACCTACCTTACCTATCTACAGGACCCTAAGGTTACGCCGTTCCGCACCGCCAAGAGTGGCGTGCCGCCTCATGGAGTTTGTCTTCGTGTTGCGAGGGAAACGAAGAGAAGCTGGAGAGGCCCCAAAGGTGGAAGAAAGTCTCTCAACCCCAAGAGTGGAAGCAGCACTCCTACCGTCGAGACCTGTACCTTTTTGCAGTGGCCACACACTTGTGCGTCCACCCGAGCTCATTTGAGAGACCTTTGCAAGCTCAAAGCCGCTTCATCATCGGCCCGTACCAGCAAGTTCCTCGCCAACAGCCCGACACCCTTCGGCAGAACGGCGGCGCGTTTCTGGAACCGGAGATCCACTCCGGCCCGGTCTCCGTCCGTCTTTTCAGCTCACGACATGTCCATGTCACTTACTCTGAGCACCTCGGAAGTCATGCAACCCCAGGGTCCTCTGGCGCAACTTACCAAGTCGAAACCCGAACCTGTCCAAGAGACGATGACTGAGCCATTCCCGTTGTTTCCTATGGAGTTAGCGGACGCCCCTATCGACGACCGGCCACGACTCGGGACACCTTTCATGGCCAACAGTTACGGGCCCAGCTCAACGAGTGCGCTGGCTGCCTCTTCAGTACCGCAAAGACAGAACCAAAGTCTTGGCCACAGGCGCACTTTGCAGTCGCCGGCGCGTCTGACGAGAAGTCGATCGAACACGCAGAAGCGCGTCGGCCGGCCCAGACAAGCATCTCATGAGCCGCGCAAGACCAAGCGACCTAGTCTTGTTTCCGACCTCTGGACTGAGCCGATGCCATCCGAGAGTCTACCCAAGACACCGGTCAAACCAGAAGTCGAGTTCAGCTCCACGGACAGGAACTCACACGACGACCTTTTTGTACCTCGTACAAGTCTCAGTGGGCTCTTCACAGCCCCTATGCAGATACCTGCGCCGAGACTCCAGCCTGCCAACCTGCCTGACCCCTTTTTGGCTGCGCCAAACGCACCTCCTGCAAGGCTTGGATCGCCGTTCCCCGGAACCAAGACCAGCTTTTCATTCCCAAATCGTTTCACGCAGCCAGAAGAGTTTGATCACGGCACTATTCGCCCGTTTGCCACTATTCAGCAACAACCCAGCGGGGATGGCGGCTTAGCTCCTCCTCGTAACCTGGCTGACCGCCTGGCTTACATTGACGAGCGTCTTCGCAACTTCAGACGCCGGGACAACAATCGTCGCCGGTCTGAATCACCTTTCTAGTGATATATTTTCTTTGTACATGTTGCTACGCCCGTTACTCTCACGACTTATGAGTCCATGCGAGTTATCTGCTCGATACCCCTGTGGAGATACTCCTGCAAGGACATACCCCTCGACTGGTACATAGACGACAGCACGCTTTGATGATGGCTCCGATTTCCTTACTTCACTTCACTTCTTGCGGACACATTTGCTTCACATATCGAGGGGAGAATAACCCTTCCTGGCTTGGAGGACTACTTAATGGCCACTTTGCTTGAGATGTTGAGCGATCTGGACGATATCTCCTTTGTTATTTATTCCTAGCCGTCGGTTCTCCGCAGCCCGGCTTCTTATTGACGATGGACATGACGAAACGACATTCGGCAAGGACGTCGGATATTTTATGTACGCATCGACGACTGGGCCTTGTATGGGGTTCCGGAGCGTTGTTTGAGTGAGAAGCTCACCTCGACGAAGAGGCATTCGATTGGAAAAAAGAAAAAAACCAGTGTGAAGAGGAAGACAGAACAGTCGTTTCTAGACAAATGGAAATGAGGCATTACTCTCTTTCCAGAAGATTGTTCCTAACGTCAGATGACGCAGGTTCTTACCAATGCTGCCTTGATTCGATGTCTTTTCCTCATGAGCTCGAAAACACCTAATAGCTCCCACTCGTACGCATGGCAAATGTTTTCGAAATCATTCCATACGGGGGGAGGCGGGGGAAATACGAGAGGTCTTGTCTATCATCTTGACCCAAGACGCCGGTGAGGTGATGAACTGATACTACGTGAGATGGACGAGGCCTCTGTCTCTTGGTCTGACTGAAAGCAGCCGGGCATTTTCGATGAACGAAATCGCAGATCATTGGAGTCCATGACGCTGTTTGGCTGTCTGGAGTAGTCATGGAATGAAGAGATGTTCCTGCCCGATTCCCACTCGTCTTGATGGGCGATGGGGAATCAGTTGAAAACTCAGAAAGGCGGTAGCGTCGAACAGGTTGGTGATTTTGCTTCGTATTGAAATCAATATGGGGGGGGAAAAAAAAGTGAAAAATGAGTGAGGGAGAAGAGGAAGAACATGCCAAGGTCCTTGGAACTGCATTCGGGGCCGAATTATCCAGCCGAACTTCACTGGCCCCTCCCCTTCCCTCGTGTCCGGGCGGACTTGCAGAATGCGTGAGTCGGGGAATGTATGTTCGGGTTACGGATTATGGTGTGGGGTGCTCGGGGATAGGAGGCCGGTGATGTTTCAAGGGGTGGTATCCGTAGGCTGGGAGTGATACATGCCTAAGGTACGGAGTACTCTCTAGGCCGAAATCCGAGGTTATCGTGAGAGACACGGATCCGTACTGCTTGAAAAGCGGAAGAGTGATGTTGGGATATGATTCAAGGAGTGTAAGTGGAATTCGAACCGGTTTCTTGTGAGATTTCGATGGGCGTCGGAGGAATGTGGTTTGGGGAACGGGTGGTTTTCTTTAGGGGGGCGGGTTTGATCATTTGCGTTCCCTCTCCGAGGGTTATTGAGTGCTAGGGAGTGCCGTGGTGCTTCATTGCGTCTCGGCCGAGTGCCTGTGCTGGAATTCCCATGATTATCGTGAGAGCTGCTCGGCCCTGCTGGCCTTCGCTCGCGTGCTTTAGGCGTGTCCCGGCATCCCGATGTCCCGATGTCCCGGGGAATGTCAGGGAAACAATTACATTCGGATCTCCGGCGAGCTTCTTTTTTCGAACTCCCAAATGTCTCTCTTACCTACATTCTTTCCTGGTTCGCGAGAACTGCGCCTTGCGGAAAGCATGTGTTGGTCGCGGCAAGTCTGGAAGTGTTTTCCCTCATCCATCGCCTTCGCTTTCGCATTGAAGTGTAGCGTCTTTCCCTCCCCCCTCGTGGGAAAGTGGTTGGAATGTCGGCAAACTTTGGAAGGGCCGTCGTCCCATACCACACCTCCACGTGTTCGGACTACCTCTAAAAGCCTTCTTCCCCTTCGTCTCGGTTTGTTTCAATACGCCCTGTGTTTCATTTCACGCAAATGCCGAACCGGAGGTGTTCATGGGAATAAGGGCGTTTTCGCCATTGAAGAACTCAGTGATATGTCCGTAATGTTACTGCCCGTAATTGTCGCAGTCTCTGACAAAATGAAGAATGTGAACCACTACTTCAAGAGGTCATGATCAATGGGGGAGGGGGAGGGGGAGAAGAATGCGCCTGCGCTTACAACTCACAACGCGGGACCCGAACGATCCGGTTCACGAGAGCGCCCCCCCCCCCGATGTCCGACGCCCGGGCTCCAATGGGCCAACTAACACGTTCTTGCTAGAATGAATCTCTGGGAGCTCTCTGAGGTACGGATACCTACCTACCTGTCTGTCTGTAGTTCCCCCGCCCGCGCGCCTCCGAACACGTCTGACAAACCCGTTCTCCAACGTGGAAATGGCGTCGGGCATGGACTTTTTTTTTTATCCTTTAGGCGTTTTAAGCTTCAAGGCCGACAGGTCCGCCAGGCTGGCATTGGCAGGGCTTCCGGAAACGCACCGTCTTTGCGCTAACCCACACGCACCGGCGACGGACTCGATCCTCGCTCGTGAAATGTGTAAATGAAGCGATGACGGGCTTCTTGGATTCATGGCTCTCTTCTTTTCGGGAGGGATGTCCTCCTGCCTGTGCCTGTACATGTAACATAGATCTGGGGGAGGCTTCCATTGTGTATTGCATGGCTGTCATTATCAAGTCTGGTCATAATTGCCCACTGCTCGTTCTTGGACGATCGTCAGCGACCACGCTAGAGCTGGAGCTCTTTCTTTCCCCAGACTTTGGATCAGCGCGTGATGGTCGAGATCTGCGGAGTTTGTTAGTGTAGTAGTACCTAGCTAACCATACGCGAGAACTAGCTAGAGCTGTACGGGGGTTTTTCCTTCTTCTTGCTAAATTCTGACAGGGCAGATCACTGCATAGCTTATTGGGTTCCTAAAAGATCCTTCTGAGCATGTTGGGGTTCGGGCGGGTTACATGGCTGTCTCTTGATCGGTGCCAGCGTCATAATGCTTCCTTCTCATCAAGGCTAGCCGCAGCCAAACGGATCTCTCGAAAGACAACTGCGCCGCTTCTCCAACAAGTCACACTTCACGTCCTTTACTTTACTCCACTCCCCAGATGCCACCGGAGAGGCTCAGCAAAAGTTGTTCCCAAAGTGATACGCCCGGCTTTGGTGCTGCTGACGGCGAAGATAATGCGAAGATGAGGGGGAAAGGACCGGAAGACGGACATATCGGCCGGTGGACAACGGATGACCAGGCATGCAGTGTCCATACCGGCAACAGTGGACTTTGTCTCTCTTCCGATCCCCTGCTCCATTCGGTCTCCCTGGGTTTGGTTCAAGTCGCGACTCGGCGCAGTAGTCGGGCGTAGAGGACGATGTCATTGACGTTATGGAACTACGTTTTATCATGCGATTGTCTGTCTGTCTGCCTGTCTGTCTGTTCCTCTCATCCTTCCAATCCAAAGAATTGCATTATCCGAGGCCTTCTCTGGAATGGAAAGAGTTGCGCTTCGAAACAGGACGTTAGACTGGCGGAGCTGCATTCCGAACCACTCAGGCAAACGATCCCCGGTACTTGCGCGTATACTGGACCAGAAGTCTGCCGGTCGATTGAGGTACCCAAGCTTCAAATATCTCGTCTCAAGTATTACGGACTGGGCATTCCTGTCCCAAATATCACGATCTGTTGGAGCCAACACTCAACTCACTCTCGAAAAGAACCGCGTTCAGACAAGGGGCATAATTAGGGACATGGGACGGAAGAGAGAGAGGGGGGGGGGGATGACTAGGGGGGATCGGGCCCAGGGGATACGAAAATAAAATGATCTCCGTGCTATTTTAGCTCCTATTCCCACAACTCTCTCTCTCTCTCTCTGCCTGTCCAGTCTGGCGTGGAATGAGGGAATCCGCCATCCCGCGTAAACTATCCCAACTCCAAGGGCTAAAGAAGTGAAAAAGAAATATCGTCCCTACTTTTCCCCCGTCATCACCACGTTATGCTCGTATTTACCATTGAGGAATACCCCGTCTTGCCCCATAAGGCAACGTGGGCTCATTTCCCGATACCAAAGAAGGCCTCCCAAAAAGTTGGGGGAGACCTCTCTTACTTACTTTTACTAGGGCCTTTTCAGCTAGGTAAGGGGATCTTGCGTTTACAAGCGAACCAGCGTGTGTCCGTCCAAATCCAGTCAATTTCACAGAATAACGTGGATCCATACACGACACGACGGGAGTTCCTTACTTGGACCATCATAGCTTTGTCCGGACGGAAACCACTGCACCGGCGGAGGACGATGGAGAGACGTGAAGGGCCCGGCGGATCATGTAGGCATGCAGACGCATCTTGTCCGTTCGTCAAAGTGCTTGCCTACTTTGAAGCCGAGCTGCGAGACATTGGAAATGCGTCGTCTTTCAGCCCGTGGAAACTAACTGTTTGTAACTCTGTAAAAGCCCTCTCTCCAGATAGATACATAGATAGATACATACAATGGCACGTCGTATCACTTGTGCAATGCCTAGGGAAATGGGCCCAGCATCATAGACATCTACTTCAAGATCCCGAACCCAAGAGAACGGGAAGATGGCGTGGGTTCATCTAACCTCAACTCGGGTTATCGCGTGCGCGCGCGCGTGTAAGTTGCGTCCGCTGTCCGCGCATCCAGGCCAGAACCCTGCGCTGACAGCTCACAGTCCCGAGGGAAACACACACAAGAAACGAACGAGGGAGGGGTTGGGTCCGTCATGGCGGTATCGATCCCACTGGAAAGCCAAGACTTTAAGCTCCAAAGAAACAAAATCCCACGAGCTACCCTAATTCAGCACCTTGATTCAAATCCAGGCTCTGTCCCTTGTCTGCACGCGTCGAAGCTGAGATTGACTTCTGGGATTAGGGGGTGTGAATGGGCCCTGGAGCTGCGCAGAAGGAAAGGAAGAAAGACGTGAGCGGGAGCCTATGAGTCTTGGCTTAATGGCTCCCCAGGGCTGAGCCTCTCACTTCCTATTCCTAATTCCTCTCTTATTCGGATTCCTTTGCTGTGATCGTCAGTCTGCCTAGGTTTCTCGTCATCCCTTGCCTGATAATGTAGCATTCACCCGGGGGCATTCTAGGCCTCCCAAGAAAGCACCACCATATCCGTCGAGAGGTTCATTGCTCACGGTGCAACAGCCAGTGTTCAGGATCCCAGCTTTCGAAGCACACAAAAGTCGTCCAATGTCTGGCAAAGACAATTGCAAAGTCCCACCAGTGTAAAACCAAAACCAAACCAAACGCCTTCACTGTTAAACCTTCCCGCGAACTTGACACAACCCGTGATCCGAACGGACCAAAACCTTGTCCTGATTAGGAAATTAAGAGCAAGAAACAGCGACTGGGTGGGAATCCGAGAAACCACTCTGTCCGTACAGCTCTAATCCCAGCATCCGTACTCCGTACGAAGTACATCATGGGCTAATAGGCACAATCCCAAAGGTCTGCCTTACACCGCACTAAAACAAAAAAGTGTTGCCTGCCTAAAAAGCTGTGCACCCGCGCCTCAGTCCGTCCCCCCGGGCCCCTGTTCGCCGGACCTAAACACTTTCCCTTGGCCCCCTTCGCCCCGTGGCCGCCCGCCCCCCCTTGGCACTCGACCGAACCACGCCTCATTCGTTTTCTATCCCACTTAGGTAAGGGGATATCACACACATGTTCCGGGAACGGGAATTTACCATTCAGTAAACCCATCGTCATTATCCCCCCTACGTACCTTACAGAAAGAAAAAAGGAAGTAGGAGGGGGGCCTGGGGGGGGGCACGCACGGAGAAAAGGGAGGGGGAAGAACTGCAAGGGATTGGGCAATGACCGACTTTGTGTTTCCTGTGGACGGTGGGCCTGAGCTTGGCCTGGGGAAGTACGGGAACCAATAATTACAGTGTACCTTGCTCTCTAGATGAACACAGAGAAAAGAGAGGTGAGTGACCAAAGACAGAGACATAATCAAGAAGCAAGTCATGCACTCAGTCAGCGCGGGGGGGGGAAGCACCAAAACGCAATCCCCCCCCCAAAAGAAGCCAAAGCGGCGTCAAACCCAGGTGTCACAAGTCCGCCCAGGAATGGGGAAGAAATGCACAATACCTCGCTAACGTACGGATAGACAACCTCAGTAGAGTACCGGTATAGTTGTAGTTGTAGTTGTACCTGGTCTGATGACCCAGACAAGCCAGCAGCGGGCAGCCCAGCAAAGAGGAACGAGACCAAGCTTTTTGGCACCAAAAGGGCTTTTAAGCAAAAAGCTTCCCTTTCTAAAAACCCCTGTACCACACCACCAAGAACGCCCGGCTGCCTACCTACATGGTACCTAACCCAGATCAGAAGCACAAAAGTCAAAAGGTTCGGGATTGGGGTACAAGGTAATACATCGTCCAGAGTATAATATCGTGTCAGACCGCACCACCCCGTTTCCCCCTCCGTCCTCCCCTTCCTTTCCGTCCTCTTGAACCTGTTTCTTGGCTTATTATTATCCCTCTTTACTCTATCCTTCTTAAGGACTCTTGTGCTCTCGTCCAGACTACGACATACGACGACTGGTGGTGCTCGGATAGCGTGCTCGACTTACACATCCCGCCAACACGGATACCCTGGATCCCTTCGTCAAATCACCGCCGATCATCCAACCAACCAACCGGTACTCTCATCAACACCGGTTCAACTTTTTGTCGTCGGCTCCTCGGAAACAGTCACAGCTTTGGAATAGGGAATCGAAAGAAGTCCAGCAAAACATCTTGTGTTTATCTATTTGGAAAAAAAGTAATCCAGGATATCCATCCCCCCCTACTGGGTAGTTACTGGGTAGTTGAATATGTACATTCAAAAAAATATGGCTCGTCCCAGCATCATCGTCTCCATGCTCGTCCTGTCGCTCTCCGGAACCGCATTCGGCAGAGCGAGCTTCTTCGGCAAACAGCAGCAACACGACGCAATAACGGACTGCGCCCGCGTCGATGCCCCGACCTCCTTGACCTGGCTTTTGCAAGATCAACCCTTTGAACAGGAGGATCCGTCCGCCTTTTTCTACGTCAACCAGGATATTGACGCGTCAGGTAGGACTTCTTTTTTTTTTCTTTCTTTTGGTTGCTTTTTTGTGCTTTCTTGTCTTTTTTGGTATATGCCTCTGGTGTATAGCTTCCCTGACAAAGGAGATTCTGAATGAATGAATGAATGTACTCAAACGGTTCTCTTTTATAGGAAACAAGGCGAACAGAGTCGCGCAACTCGTCACCTTTGGCGGCGTCCAGGGACAACAGGATTCGACCGAGTGCCGCCTCCTCTTCAACATGCCCGAGGACTCAGAGAGCTGGGAGCTGATCCAGCGCGAGGGCGCCACCACGATGCGCGTTTTCCGCGTCCCCAGCTACGAAGGGGACGATTCCGTACGTCAGAAGCAGAATCTTCTGGGCACCGTCCTGGTCAAGCCCGGAACGCAGTCCATCGACCTTGGTCGATGCGACGGTAGCGGCAGTTTCGTATTTGAGCTTGCCGACGCGGGACGCAGTCGCGTCGCCTTCCGCCAGGCATCGAAGCCAAAAGACGGATTCGGTGTCTTCATGGCTCATGGGTGCCCGGTCCCTAGAAGGACTGAGTCTGAGGACCTGTGAAGAGGGGTGGTGATTTCGAATGACGAGTTGAAGAATTAGAATTTTGGTGTGGTTTGGGTCTTTATGAGCTTGGTTTTCCGAACTAGACGGGCACTCTCCACCCGTGGAGGTTGGCGACGTTCACACTCTCTTAAAACACCTGCGCCGTGTAAGGCATCCGCTCTCGGCGGAGGTGTGGTTGTGGTATCCGCATATCGCGACGGGAATGGCCGCGGCTTGGCTCTGGAGCGACCTCCATTACCAACGGCACAAGCAGGAAGTTATCCAGCTCCCTGCTGGCCGTGGTATGGGGACACCTACGTTCGCCGACGGCAGCCCGATGGCTGTGGAACGAACATTGCCGGAAACCGAACTGGCGCTCTTCGTTGCGAAGCTTGTTAGCCGGGATGCGCAGTTGAGGGTTCTTGATGCGTGTGTCCAGCTTGCTCGACTTCATCTTGCGCAGATGCGAGGTGAACTCGTTAGCGAAGTCGGGGAAACGTTCAAACATCTCCTGAAATCTCTCGAGCCCGCCATCGTCCTTTGCGATCGACGACGAACCTCCCGCAACGGACCATGCCACCATCGCTACGGTCCACCTCCGAATCCGCATCGAAGACTCTGCATCACACTGGCCGTATACGTATTGGACGAAGCGAGGAGTGACATCCCAGTCGCAGCGGAGGTAGATGTCTTGCAAGGCATCAATCGCAAGGTCTTGCAGATGATGCAGGTCGAGCCTCGCAGCGAAGATGTGAAGGCGGACTAGGGCCCAGTGAAGTCGTTGGCACGGGACGCCGGGAGCATCACAGACGAGAGTGATCATCTCGTCGAGGTGTCTGCGGAAGCCGTCTCTTTGGTGCAGCCATACTACGAAAAGCTCGAACATGGAGGCGGATTCGTTGGGAAGGCGGATGGTCGACTTTTGTTGCGGCAACCATACCGGCACTGGTGTCTGGTTGGGTGTCACCTTGACGCCGGCCGGTGTAGCGTCTAGTTGGTCCTCGAAGAAGGGGGCAGCGTTGCTGAGTTTCTGCTTGTTGATACGGAACTCCTTCATCTTCTCGCCTCGACCGACAAATACGCGAGCCAGGTTATCATCTTCGTGTGATGATCTGGGATAGAGAAGGTCAGATTGTGTTCAGGAACATTGATGTATTACAGGAGACTTACACGGTGGACCCCGATGGTCTGTGGAAGATGCCCTGTGGTCTAGTCATGGGTGCCATTGTGAAGATAGTGTTCCAGCACTTGGTGTAAGAGCCAGCTCTGGATGAGAAAGTAGAGTAGGAGAAAGTACTAAAGAATTTGAAGAACCCAGAAAACCCGAGAGCACACTAATGAAAGGCCGTTGACTTCGTTTGTTACTTTCACTCTCCCAGAGAGCTTGAGAAGAGAAAAGAGAGAGTACACCAGAACTAGTCCTAGATGGATCCGAGGACGCTCTTCATTATCAATTGCTCCAAGTCTGGGTGCAACTTGAGCAGGGTAGAGGCGCCGCAGATATGGGGAACTACACGGTCACACACGAGCTTCCCTAACACCATGGCCCCCTGTGTCGTCTGCCAAGTGCAGTGTATGAATAAGCTTATACGTGATGATTGATGTTAAGCCAGTTTCAGAAAGGAGGGTATAAGGGTGTGGCTGGCTTGGTGCTCAGCCAGGGCTCTGCTGGGGCTTGTCGGGAGTTGCTAGGACTCTTGCTGCATCTTCAGCTTAACAGAACGCTGATATGGGGCAGCGATTCACGTCAAAGACGAGATGATGCTGCTTGGGATGGTAGGGGTGTTGGTTTCAAACGTCATTGTCAAACGCACTGAGTGCATTGGTGTGGGAGTCGTGCCGCGCGAAGTGCTCCCTCAACTGCTTCAGGCGACAGGGTTGTAGGCTGTGTTCTCGTGGGACACGGCTGTAGCGGAAGCTTGGGGCATCTTAGCCGTGGCTGATATAGGACCGGGGTCCGGTGCTTGGATGCAGTTCTTGACGTTCCCGCCGAGCCCTGTCAAGAACTGTCTCGTCTGTGCAGGCGATCTCCTGCTTACACCTGGCTCGGAGTTACAATCGATGGTTTGGCGAGATTTTTTTTGGCAAGCCAAGGTGCTCGATAATCTCTCAATCCACCCTCAGACGGTGCAGTGGTGACTTCTTCATCTCCTATTTTTGGTGGCGTTTTCCTCTTTATATACACAGCAAGAAACAACAGTTCAAATGATGCCTTGGGACGGGCGTCTTGTGTCGGACGAAAACATGAGGCGTCTTGAATCG